ATATATATATATATATATATATATATATATAATAAGAATAACTATTAACTAATAATAATAGTAAAAAATCTGAGCATTAAATGCTTACCTTCTTTGAAAACTCTTAAAATATATGCATTAATTGTTTTCATATACACAATTTCAAATCATATATGATCAAAATGATTCTTTCCTTTAATAGTTTATTAAATATACACAATTTCAAATCATATATGATCAAAATGATTCTTTCCTTTAATAATTTATTAACATCTGCAATAATTTTATTGATATCCATTATAATAAACTACGAATTTAATTTTTCCTGATTCATGTTGATTATTTTATTGTCAAGATAGATATGAAAACATATTTTATATTCTAAGCATATTATTTTTTTTCACAATATTGATTTTCATCCTAAAATATTTATGAAAAATGGTATGTTAATTAATTTTTTTATTCATCTTTATTTCATTATATATATAAAAAGAAAATTATTCTTCAAATTAATATAATTTACCATTAGGAAATAATGACATATATATTAAATAATTTTACTAATGGCCAAATAATAAAATTTAAATATGTTAACTATTCTTTAGAATTTCAACATATGATTTATTTGTGTATTATTGTTAACCATAATTATCTTTTTATTTTTTATTATTTTGATTTCTCTCCATACGGAATTCTTTTAAAATATATTTCCATTGCATAGTATGTTGAATAAACTATAAAACCTTATGATGAAAATTAGAAAATTTAAAGATGTTGAATTATTATAAAAAAATTAAATTAAAAAAAAAATTCTGTATATTTTGTAAAATATTTGTACACAATGTTTAATTTTAAATTTATTTACATAATTTAAATTAATTATATTAATAAAATGATATTAACATACATTAAATATTTCATTACAAAAAATAAAAATAATAAGAAGAAGACTACATCTATACTTTTATAAATAATAAAAACGACATTATATTACAACAAATTTTATAATATAATAATAATAATTGAGTTTTTGTACGAGGAACAAGAATAAGTAAAATTGTTATTTTTCTTATGTCAAAGGATATATATATATATATATATGTATATCAAATTTATATTACTGTAAACGTGTTAGTGGGATAATATATTAATTAATTTACGAGATAGCGCTAACACACTCAAGTTAATATCCCAACAAAAGAATGACGCTGATGAAAAGAGGTGGAAAATAGATGATCCAACTATATTATTTTTTAGACCTTAACGAACAAGCTCTATAGAAATTACTAATTTAATATCTTGTCCCGTGCATCGCACATGGTGCTTACTAGTTGAAAATTGAAAAAATAGCTTTTATGCTTAAAATGCCCTAATAGTAATAGCAAAGCAAGGCATCCCCTTTAATATAATTTCAAAACGTGCAGAGCTTAAATGGTTGACTCGCACGCTTCGAAAGCTTACATGGCAACATTACATCCTTCGGCTTTTAGTTCGGATAAATTAATACAATTATATTCCAAAATAAATAGGTTCGGACATACTATAACTACATTCCCTAATAGTTTAAAATAAAATACTTAATAAATAAGATTTTTCTTAATCCAATCTCCTCAAACTCCAAGAATAAATAGGATTCTTATCTCCTCCAACTTTATATGCCGGGTTGCTTAATCCGATCCCCTCCAAAATTATATTTATTATTAAATTAAATAAATGAATATAGTAATTACACGAGTTAACAATCCTATACCAATCAAATGTTAATCTTATATCAATAAATAACTAACAAGAAAGTAATTTGTGAAATTACTTGAATGACAACCCGAAGCTCATAAATATAAATATATTTGTAGAAAATATAATAAATTCAACGATTATTAAGCTAGCAAATATAATAAATGTATTTAGAAAATTTCAAAACGTGCATTTAGCCATCTATACTTATATTAAAAGGTATCCCATTTACCAGATTTAGTATAAAGAAAAGTCAAAGGTAATTAATGTTTGCTGGAAATAGAATGACATTAATTACAGATTTGTTTCGGTATTTATAGCTTGACATTAAAGATTTGTTATGGGATAAAAATCAGAACCAATTTTTTTACCTTTGCTTGAAAAGTCAAATGTAAGTATAGATTTGTTTTATTCCATAACATCAGTTTAGTTAAAATAATCTCATAAAATCGGTTTTAATGTCAAATCTATAAATAAAGATTTAATCGATTTTAATAAAGCAGATTTAATCGGTTTTAATAATTGCATAGAATTTCAAAACTGTTATTAATTGTAAAAAAATTAAATTCTAAAAAAACATTTGTGTATATTTTGTAAAATGTTTGTACAAAATATTTTAATTTAAATTTATTTACATAATTTAAATTAATTACATTAATAAATAATATGAACATACATTAAATATTTTAATTACATAAAACAAGAAGAAAAAGAAAATTACATCTATAACTTATAATAATAATGACATTATACTACAACAAATTTTATAATGAAATAATATAAGTATTATACGAGGAACAAGATTACATAAAATTGTTATTTTTCTTATATCAATGAATAAATATATATAATGAAATCAAATTTATATTATTATAAACATGTGAGCGAGATAATATATTAATTAATTTACGGGCTAGCGCTACCAGACTCAGGTTTAATGTTCCGACAAAAAAAAATGACTTTGATGAAAAGATGTAAAAAAATAGATGATTAAACTCTATTATTTTTTAGGCCTGAACGGACAAGCCCTACGGTCTACTCATTTAATATCTCCCGTGAATCGCACGAGCTACTTAACGGACAAGTTCTGTGGAAATAACTCATTAATACTTATGTCTCGTACATCGCACGGGCTACGTACTAGTTTACCTATTATAAACAATAGATTATTTTAGAAAAACATGTGTTTTTTCTATAATTTTATGTTTTAGTTTTTTCATCCCATGTAGTACACGTACTAATTAATATTTAGAGAGAAAATTTGACATAGTCCGTAATCGTGTCCACATGCAGAGACACGAGCAAGGCATTAAACTGAGGCCACAACAAAATATCACTGGCACACACTCCGCCTAACCTCAGCCACATCTCGGTTACTCCCCTCTTTATTTAACCCTTCTCACCGCACTTTAGCACCACACACCAAATCGCAAATCCACAACAAATCTAAATAAGCAAGGACTCTGTCTGTCTCTCTCTCTCTCTCTCAGTTTGCCATTGCCAGAGAGGGAGCCCTGGATTTCAAATAGAATTTCGCAAGAGTCCCTTCTATCCTTTTCTGCTTTCTCTTGAGGGGTTAAGAACCCGGAGAAGAAGAGTTGTCCACAATCACGGCTTTATTCAGAGTGAACCGACCCGCTGTCACACATGTTCGTTCAGTCCGACGCAAGGGTTGTGTGACCGCGAGCAACCCTTCGCCGCACGGCGGACGTGGAGCCTTGCCGTCCGAAGGCGGCAGCCCCTCCGACCTCCTCTTCCTCGCCGGCGGCGGTTCTTTCCTTGTGTAGTTTACCCTAGATAGTATTCTCAATTTTTTGTTTAATTCTTTTGGCTTATTGTGTGTATTCGAGAAATTCGATCTAGAATCTATTTGGGTTATTGACTGAAGAGAGCTGAAAAACTATACAAAAGGTATAGTTGTTTGAGAAAGAGAGTTTTAAAGATGATGCTAAGGATTAAGCGGGTTCCTACTGTGGTTTCCAACTACCAAAAGGAAGAGGCTGAGGACGTTGGGGCTCGCCAAGCGTCTGGCTGTGGCCGCAATTGCCTCAGGAGCTGCTGCCTTCCAGGTATTTGATGATTTGTCTCTGCGATTTGTTTTAGTTTATTCGAATTTGCTTTCCATGTGAGGGGGTCATGAAATTTACTGGGATTTTAAATTGGACTAGGTTCGAAGCTGCCATTGTATGCTTTTAAGAAGGCGAATGAGGTTGGTAGTGGAAAGAGTCTTGTTAGCACCGTGAAAAATGAAGCTCCAACTGACTTTCTGAATTCCCTTCTTCTCGGAGAGGTAATATTTTTGTGTTAACATATTTGTGGAACCACATTCTGCCCTATTTTCCTGAAATTAAGTGTTGAAAAATTCTGAATTAATTGAATGATACATGTTGGTAGTGGGAGGATCGCATGAAGAGAGGACTCTTTCGCTATGATGTCACTGCTTGCGAAACCAAGGTCCTTCTTCATCTCCATGTTACCTACTTCTGCATATGTTTTATTTCATCAGTGTCAAATGTTCAATCCTAAGCTGATTCTTGAAGAATATTAAATCTTCCTACCTAATAGGTTCTTGGTGTGTAGGTAATTCCTGGGGAGTATGGATTTATTGCACAGCTGAATGAGGGCAGACATCTGAAGAAAAGGCCAACAGAGTTTCGTGTTGACAAGGTCCTTCAGCCCTTTGATGAGAACAAGTTCAACTTCACTAAAGTCGGGCAAGAGGAGGTCCTGTTTCAATTTGAGGCCAGTGAGGATGACCAAGTTCACTTCTTTCCAAATGCGCCCATTGATACAGAGAGTTCGCCTAGCGTTGTTGCCATTAATGTATGTCTTACTTTGTCCCACTTTGCAGTATGTCCCTGATTATGTTGTCACTCAAGGAGTTGTCCATAAAGCATGCATTCATTGTTTGATTATCTTTTCATTATTCTTACTTCAAAAAATGTGTTGATCCGTATCTTCATATACCTAATCTACTTCTAGTTCAATACCCCCCCTGTCCTCAAGTGATTGTCATCTTTGAAATTTTCGGTGCAATTTACAAAAGAAGTGACAAATATTCTAGAACATAATAAGCAGATACTCTTGCAAACGCTCCCTTAACTTCATAATATCAAGGAGCTCTAGTAATTTTGGTTTGATGAAAGCCTAGTGTTTGTGATTTGACACAGGTTAGTCCTATTGAATACGGACATGTGTTGCTTGTCCCTCAAATTCTCGAGCGCTTACCACAGCGAATCGATCGAGACAGCTTCTTTCTGGCTCTCCAGATGGCTGAAGAAGCTGGGAATCCCTACTTCCGATTGGGTTACAACAGCTTGGGTGCTTTTGCCACCATCAATCACCTTCACTTTCAGGCTTACTACTTAGCTGCACCTTTCCCCATTGAGAGGGCCCCTTCCAAGAAGATAACCACCACAGGTGGTGGGGTCAGAATTTCTGATATTCTCAATTATCCAGTTAGAGGTCTGGTTTTCGAGGGTGGAAATTCTCTACAAGATTTATCCAATGTTGTCTCGGATTCTTGCATTTGCCTGCAGGAGAACAACATACCCTACAATGTGCTCATTGCCGATTCTGGCAAACGAATTTTCCTCTTCCCACAGGTGATTGTCCAGATAACTGCAAATTTACTTATGGGACCTCATTGAACTGAAAAAAAAAAGATAAAAATTACTATTTATCTATCAGGCTAATTGCGACCCCTGAAGTGTTACTATACTCCTTGATGGGTCATTTTGTTAAGTAGAGAAACATACATCAAAAGGGTATTTTTAATTTTATTGAAAGGTAGCTGGGAATCTTTTTAATTAGAATACACCTAAAGGGCACTTTCTATAATCAACCCAATTTGTGTCTTTGTCTTAAGATTTGATGTCTCTTTTGGTTTGAACAGTGCTATGCGGAAAAACAAGCCTTAGGGGAAGTGAGCCCTGAGTTACTCGACACTCAAGTCAATCCAGCAGTTTGGGAGATTAGTGGACACATGGTACTGAAACGAAAGGAGGATTATGAAGGGGCATCTGAGGAAAATGCATGGAAGCTCCTAGCAGAGGTTTCATTGTCCGAGGAGAGGCTGGAAGAAGTGAAGGAGCTTATATTTGAAGCCATTTGCTGCAAAGTGAAGGAAGAAATTGTTGGTCATACTACTATGGAGGAGGATCCAGATGGGACGTCTGAGTCTCATGAAGACGACTTAGATGCCCTCAAGGGCCTCCAGCCAGCCTTGGTGCCTGTGTAGTGGAGCATTTCTTCTGTTTTATGCACGTGATTTTTAAGTGTTTCTGCAAATTGAACTGTGTGTTGGATTTATTGCCTAAATAATGTTGCTCTGGACAAATTATGTATGTAACTTCTGTCTGGTGGTAATGTTGGATTATTATTTATGCTCGTGTAGGACACCATGTCGTGATCGTTGCTTTATTTGGTGAGACTGTTGAAATGAACTTTCTTCAAATCTGTCCTTCAACTTTGTTGTCATTCTGTTTCCATGTTCCTTTTTTTTTTTTCTTTTTCTTTTGTTGAGCGTGCAACTCATTTCCCATTGGTGATGATAAGTTAGAGGACAGTGATCAGTGTTTGTGTGAACAAACGCGAAAACTTTAACGGATGCGATTTTGTTATAAAACTAGAGGGAACTAGAATAGAGAATGTATTATTTTGGTATTATTTTCATTTTGTAGAAAAACTTTAATGGCAATAAATGAAATAATAGAATAATATCGAGGGAAAATTGTCATTCATACCCTATATAATTAATACATACGGTAGGTTGAGACAACACGCTTATTTAAATGACTGTTTTCTAAATATATCTTAACTAATTATAAATTGGAACATCTTGTTGAGACAACACGCTTATTTAAATGACTGTTTTCTAAATATATCTTAACTAATTATAAATTGGAACATCTTAACTAATTATAAATTGGAACATCTTGTAGTGTAGCTTGTGGCAATTATGTACTGCTGCATTGTATCATACTAATTAAAAATTGGAACATCTTGTAGTGTAGTTTGTCGCAATCATGTACTGCTGCATTTTATCATACAAACCATGTGCGACAAAACTTGAGCATTGTGGAAGCATAAAGTTGTTCTCCCCTCAAATAGATCATCCTCAACATTCATGTACTGTCTCATTAAAACCTTGTCAAGAAGACCCCGTAGGACAATACTTGATCGAATGAAAAATAGTACAATTACTCCAGTGCCTTTTTATCATCATGAAGAATCATACTAGTAGTCGTCATCCTACCATGAATATACCTCGTTAAAATATTAGTAGGAAAAACTCAGTGGGCAAAATCCTAATAAAAAAAATAGAGTACACTATTCATGTGAAGACGTCATCCGTATTGCCTCATTAAAAACTTTGTTGGGAAAGCTCAACGGGACAAAACCTCTGCCAAGGAAAAAAGAGTACAATGCATATTCCATATATATGTCATTCATCGTAATAATCATCTCATAATTTGTACGAGTATCTTATAGATTTATCCATTTAAGCTTTCAGATACTAATGGTATTCATATTATGCTTCAAGCAACTTTCAGTCTCAAACTCAATTTCTTATAATAAAAATCTCTTTCACATTCATAGTATTTGAATCATAATTGTCTTGTCAAATATCTTGATTAGAAAAAATCTGTTGGGGAAAAAAACCTAAATCAAGATGAGAATTTTTATATGAGTCATTATATGCACGAATAAGTTCATGTAATCTTCAATATTCTAATTTCAATTGATTAACAATATCTCATAACAATACTTGTGTATCAATATACATTTCAACAATGATATTCTAGATAGATTTCAGTATGTGCAATATTAATTTATTCCAATATTCTCATTATCAGTTGTTCGCCTATATTTTTTAAAGCTCAATCGTAAGTGTACAGCTTCGCTCCTAGTATGTGGCAAGTAAGATCGTATACCAAGAGACTAAATAATTAATGTATCAATTACTACCCACCCGTCTCCCTTTAGACTAAAATACCCTCCTCATAATTTCAGATTTTTCAAACTCTGTGTGTGAGTGTGTGTGTGTGTGAGAGAGCTTACAAAGCTTTAGACGGAATGTCTTCAAATAAGCAATTAAACAATTAGTACCACTTCTTTAAAATGATCCAAAACTGAGAAGGGAGTTTTATTAGAACATCTCCAATGGTCTTTCTATTTCTCTATTTTGTTGTCATATGACACAAATAATCTTATGTGGCTTGAAAAAATTCTAGAAGGCTTTCTAGATGTAGAAGCCTTTCTAGACAACATCTATTTTATATTAGAGTATTTATTTAATTTATTTATCTTCTTCAACCAATTAAAATTTTACATATCACAAATAATACCACAATTAACATTAACCATTAGAGACATAATTTTTTAGTTTTCATTCTCCATGCCATACAACACAAAATGCACAATTTTCCATTGGAGATGCTCTTAGGCATTACCATCCCCTTTATCAACTGCTCCATACACATTCCTTAGCTTTTGTCCCACACCAACAACCAAAAATGATAACAATCGGTCAATTATTAACGTGTAACTGTTAAATTAATCAGGGTTATATGTGAATATTTGTAGTGGCCAATATGATTTTTGAGTAAGGGCAAATTCTCTATATGCAGCATTAGACAATGGAAGTAAACAAATCTGATGCACTATCATTACCATATACTGGGATCATCATCCTCCAGCACAAGACAAATAATATTTAAAAATGATTTATTGCAAACAAATACACGCTAACCCCGAAAAGACATAGCCTCCAAAATCACTGTTCCGAATCTTGAAACACGAAAAAGGAAAGAAAGAAAGAAAGAAGACACCTGGTGTTTGAAATCTGAATTTGCCATCTCAAAGGAATTCATTTATTCTCGGGTTCCTCCTCCTTCTCCTTCTCCTTCTCTCCATACCGTCGTTTGAATTTAGCGATTTGGCCGATGCTTTGGGCCATTTGTCTCTTTGCCCGGAAATGGTAAACTTTGCCGACCTGATGAATCTTGGTCATTGTCACATTCATCAGGCGGCCGCTTTGAGTCACATATGATATCCATTGCAGCTGAGGATGAATCCCTTTCTTCATTTTTCCCTCTACCAAAAAGCAAAAAGGAAAATTCAGAGTGGAACACATTCTAACCCCGCAAAGAAAATCATTTGCTAATTGTTACTAAATGAGACTGCTAAATACAAGGTTAAAGTTCATTGCTGAAAGGTAGTGTAGCGGTTTCAGCTTAGAGCCAAATCGTTTGGGGCATTCTATCAAACGTGTGTAGGGCCAAATTGATATTAGCAAACCCAAACCACAAACAATAAATTATCCACTTTTTTTCCTTGTAATTGAATCTTTATTAGACTGAAGGAAAAATATGTGCAGACAATTTGTTTTGGTCAAATGGACAGAGCACAGGAAATTGTTCTGGAGAAGAACAATTCCGGGGAAGAACATTTTTTTTATCCAACATGTATTCCCAATTGTTCTGCGCAACGACCTTTAAACAAATCCAAAACAAAAAACTTTAAAAATTCATGGGAAACAACAAATTAATGTAAAATAATCAAACTCCCCCAAACCTCTAACTCATCTAAGGGCGGAGGCTGAGGCGAGGTCGAGGCGGAGGGCTCAATCCGAGATTCCGAGTCGAGGTAGAGGCAGTGCGAGCACTTTTCTTCTCCGGCGGGGCGGCGTGAACTGGAGATGAGAAAGAGAGGACGGGGCGGGGGCGTGAAGTGAGTTTGGAGATTTTGAAGAATAGGATGAAATGAAAAAACCTAAAGAGGTAATTACAAATTTCCTCCCGTAAAATTGGGCAATTGCAAATTTAGTCATACGGTGAAAATTTAGTCCTTTGAGTTTGTATATGGATTTTTTTCAAAAAAAATTTAACTTAACCACATTTTTTAACTCAATTTTAATTCAACATCACTATCATCAAAATTATTAATATAATTAAATAATATCAATCAATCATTCATACACACCAATCTTAATTGACTATTCATCCACTCACACTATTTTAACTAACCATCACTTCAAATCTCTCTTTTACTTTTACATCAAATCAATTTTAATTATTTATTTTAAATATTATTTTTATATACCCACTAACAACTAACCATACCACGTTTTTTCAAAATTAATCAAACCAAATCAAAAAATCTAAACAAAACCAAAAAATTTTATAAACAATTGTTTATAAAAATTTTTAGTTTTTTGGTTTGGTTTGGTTAATTTTTAAAAAGGTGGTATGGTTAGTTGTTAGTGGATATATTAAAATAATATTTATAATAAAATAATTAAAATTGATTTGATGTAAAAGTAAGAGAGAGAGAGATTTGAAGTGATGGTTAGTTAAAATAATGTGAGTGGATGAATAGTGAATAAAGGTTGATGTGGTGTGTATGTATGATTGATTGATATTATTTAATTATATTGATAATTTTGATGATAGTGGAGTTGAGTTAAAGTTGAGTTAAAAAAAGTAGTTGAGTTAAAATGTTGGAATTTTTTTGAAAAATTCCATAAACAAACATGCACTTTTTTCGTTGAGTCCCAAAGCCGTCAACAATAACGGGGTATCACATGGGAATTACGTGGCCGTTGGTTGTTAGGTTGAAAACTGAGAAAATTATAAATTTAATCCTATAAAATTGACTTTTTCCAAATTTAGTTCTAAATGCTGAAAAAATATTTTTTTATTATTTTTTTTTTTGTTAGAAATATAAAACTGTAGAGGTTGATAAAATTTAAAAAATAAAAATAAAAATAATATCAACAGCTATTGTTTTGAAAATTGGGTCAAACTCACCCACAAGACACACAACTAAACAAATCCCACAAGGGATAATTCAACAAATCCCACAAGGGATTTGTAGATGCCCGCCGCGGGATAGTCTCCCTAGATTCAACTAGATAGTTGTTTGGCTTATTCTAGTTGTTATCTAGTTGTATTTATGTGTTTTTCTATCTATTAAATCTATCTTTCGAAAAAAAAATAAAAGTGGGTCAAACTTGCTGTTGAATCGATAATCGGTCAACTAAACAGTTTGATTCATTTGAAGGAACTGGTTTTCAATGAGCCGGTCAACATTGGTTGATCGGACTAGTCAATTATATATTTTTTGAATAAGTTAATAAATATTTATATTTTTTTTTTTAATTTATAAGATATATACCCAAGTAAAGAAATGGCAAAGGCTTTGCATAAGAGCATCTTTAATAGGGAGGTTTTGAGTGAGGTTTGAATTTACAAACCTTTAACTTTTCCACTAAAGAAGACAGATTTAAGGTTTACAAACATAAACCGGCGTTCTCTTTGTAAACCTTTGGCAAACCTTGTTTAAAATTATTTTTGTAAAACAAAAAAAGTGCTAAAGAAAGCAACTGGGGTTCACAAAGTATGGGAACATACCTTTTCTCAAGCGCGTGTATGGAACAATACCATCTTGGCGTGAGAGTGCTTGGGCCCACTGGTTGGGAAGGCCATGGCAATTATTTGATTTTCCTCAATGTGGTTTTATTTAATTTTATTATTATTTTTTGTTATGAAATAATAAAATAATGTATATGAATGACTATTTTGCCCTCAATGTATTTGTATTATTACAAGTTGTGTCATCAGAAGTTTCCTATAAATAGGAGCTTCAGTTATAATGAAAATCGAACCAAGAGAATACATTTTCTCTATTCTTTCCCTTTCTCTCTAGTTTTATAACACATTATCAGCACGAGTCTCTGCCCTCTAGAGCTTGATTTGTAATATGAGAAGAGTATGCTCTACAGTTGCGTCTTATAGACGAACTTCTGTATCAGAAATTCGATTATTACTTATTGTTCTTCTCTTGAGTAAAAACTCCATATGCCAAAATTTTGAATTTGACCTAATCAATTTCATTACTTCATTTCGGTCAAAGCTATCCTTCAAGAACCACCATGCTTAAGCGTAGTTGAAAACTGTAATCATTTACATATAACTGTTGTGAGTATATACAATTTCATATAAAAGAGATAGAGAGAAAAATGGTGGGAGTGTTTAGCAGCTCAAATTTAGGTCCTTTTTTGCTAATTTGAGTGTACCTCCAAATGGGTTTATAAACCAGCTCTGGGACGACACGGTCACGGGCCCCCGGCCCGACACCGACCTTAGCAGACCCTATAAACACTCGACCTTTAATTTCTAACAAAACTCTGCAAGGAATTAGAAGTTGTCAACGGTGGAAGATCGATCGAAGAGAAAGCCGGCAGATGCGGTGAGGGTAACGAGAAGCATAATGATCAGAAGGACTCACTTCCGGTTTCTCCGGTCGCCCACTCCATCGGTACCCTCCTTTGCCGGGTTTTCAGTTACATGACAACTTCCTGTAGATGATTCCTCTTACGGGCAGCCTTGTTTTCTTAATGGGAATTGGGAATGCATAAGCTCCAGTGGTCAGAAAGGTAAAAATATGAATGGTTCGTTTGGTAACATAAATTATCTTGTTTTTCTATACTCCGCACATCTCTATTCCTGAAGATAAAACTATCATGTGGTCATCTGGCCCATATTTGGCTATTTGTGGGTGAGAGCATTTATGACATTTATTTCACTGTTCATGAATCAAAAACAATGCCACAGATGGTCCACATTATGGCCTTTCATTTATTTGCACACTATTGTTTGCAAGGAAAGAGAACATGAGATAGGCCGCGTTTGGTAGATAGCGGATTGAAGATAAATTAGCGGATTGGACTTAATTGAGAGGTTTGACCCGTCAAATCCGCTATTGAGCTTGTTTGGTAAATAGCTTATTTGATAAGTTTTTTGGGCCCAAGACTCTAATTTAGAAAAAACTCATTAGAGAAGCTTTTTGGGATAGAGGATTCACAATTCAGAGGTTTTACTTAAAACTTTTTAATTTGTCTTATTTATTTTACAATCTACATTGGTTTATAGAGCTAATAAATAATAATATATCATCCATATGATTAATTTATCTAGAAAAATGTAAAAATTCATAACTTCTTCATCAAGTGTTAGTAAATTTTAAAAAAATATATATATTTATAAATTACCAACTAAAGAATATTAAATGTTTTCATATATTATTATTAAAAGAATACACTCTAAATAATAAAATGTCCTTATTGATCATTTTGCAATGTCAAACAGCTATAAGCTTTCAGCTATTTGCCAAACACTTATTTAAAAACCCTTAATGCAATCCGCTGGTCAAATCAGCTAATATAATCCGCTATTCGCTATCCGCTGATACAATCCGCTATCCGCTATCTGCTATCCGCTGATCGTCAAACAAGGCCATAATCTTGGTTCATTCACCTAATATTTATCATCTTTCTACAGACATATTATTGTGCACGGACTTCTAGGAATGCAAAGGACCAAATATCAATAATGACATTTTCATATCATACAAATAATCATACATTTTATACAAAGTAATGATTATCAAAATTCACTTTTCTCTATTTCACAATATCCTATTTAATTAGAGCTTCGTTTTAAGATCAATATTGATATGGTTTATTATATCATATGATTATGAAAAATACTTGAATTATGGTATTGTGAAAGTTATTTGATACATGAGCATGTGCATATTTATGGATTGACTATTGTAATATTTGGTACATGAACATGCGAATATTTATGGATTGACCATTGTGATATGAAAAGAAATATGTGTGGCTATATAGATTAGCCAGTGCGGCTCTGCCGCCGACAAACAATATTCAATGGTAGCCGACGGGTCAATGATAGCCGATGATGTGGAATGGCCTGGTGGTAAGGCCATGTGCAACAAAATATGAATGGTTATATATATACATGGGTCGGCCAGTGCAGCTCTGCCGACGGCGACGGGAAGTACTAATTAAGCAATAGCCGATGAGTGAAATGAATGATACTTTGTATCTGGCCATATGAAATGTTGATCAAAGTCCTGATTGTGAAAGGACTTGATAGGAGTTACCTGTTCCTGAAAAACAGTTGATAAATTCTCCAGGATTTATTAATGGAGAAATGAAAATTGATGAAGTAGTACCTGAAGTTACTACTTAATAAATAAATGATATATGGTATATTGGTACTGGAAGCTATCAGGTTATGATTAAACAAAGTGATGAAATGATACCAGAAGCTACCATTGGATGATTGAACAAAATGAGAAAGTGGTACCAAAAGTTACCAGTTATGGGTGATCACACAAAATGATTTCTCAATATATTAAATAAGTCTAAGAGACTATATCAGATCACATTAAGATTCGAGATCATACAGATATTATAATAAAGTACTCTAGAAGAAGCACATATGATAATGAGTGTAGTCATGAAGTACTACACACTTATCTTGAGAAAAAGCAAAATTGATATTATTATTTAGAAACAAGTACAAAATGTTCAGATGATGGAAATATGGAGAAGAGGCAGTAAATACTCGATGGATACAAAATGCGCAAAGATTACATAATAGAACTCATAAAAGAAGGGTGCGTCTCGAGAGTGTAAAACTCCGTAACTCTGCCACCCATGAATGATATCTGGGTTCATAATGAGATAGATAAAGGATCAAAAGCTCTTTTTCGCTTGACCCCTTGTGTTTCCACAGAATCTTGAAATGTGATGCATTCTTGAACCTTTTTGATAAGTTCAGCAGATGTGTCAGCAAAATTGAATACTTCTCTTGTTGGAG